TTTAACCAGAAACAAAGCATGCGTTTTCAATGTAAGTAAAAAATTGGTCTATCATCAGCCGATCATTAACGATGCAACTTTTAATTTAGGCAATTTACTGATTATTAGAAATCTTCTAGACTTTGACTAGTCTTCAGGAACACAATTTACATTTAATCTAGGCTGTCAGCGGATATGTGAGAAACATACTAGTTCTATTTTGTATGCCCCACTTACCTAGTTTTGATGGAAATAATCAAATTGTGCACTATTCTATAAATATTATACCGACTTTTGAAACAGAATTGTGTCACAAATTTGTCTGTGATTCTCCATAAATGTCCAAGTTAAATTCTTAAGACTGGAAGAAGACAAATCGATTGCATAAATCATTCTACAGAGAAAAAAACTGGAAGACAAAATTCTCTTTGTAAAAGAAACTTATGAATATTTAACGACAAAATCTTTATTAACATGCAATGGCTTTTCCTCCTTCAAATACAAACAAGAACACAAAATGACACTGAAGTTAATTAAAAGAGAACAGATTATAGGAAGTAAGCGAAAATAATGCACTCCAAACTTATATTAATTAAAATTCTACAAACAAATTTTAATTACGGAAGAAACAAAAATGTTGACATGATATTAGATGATAATACTGTATGGGAATTTGATGATGTGGCTGTCGTTAATAATTTGTTTTCTTGAGGATATACTGCAAGATGGTCTATAAAAAGGAATTGACTGTCATTCCACTTACTTTGGATCTTTTACCAACGTAACCGAGGAGACGAATGAGTAATCCAGGGAGTACTACGCAGCCGATATCTAGTAAGTTGGGACTGTTCAGCAAGACACACTGGACTTCACTAAGGATCAAACCTTTCATACATTTATTCCCCTTAATGAATTTGAATAAAGCAAGAACAACAGTTTTTGCAGAATAAAATGGTACCATCATTTATTTCGTTGGCTTCTCATCAGGTGCTTACAGGCCAAAGTCATTATATCTACAGAAACAATTTTAACATATTTGCACAGAGTTCATTTTTAAACAAAAATCAATCAATCACTATATGCATACAGTAATAATATATGTATATTTTTTCCCTTCGCGTTCCCCAGTGGAACATAGGGCTTCAAGCTTGTGACTTGAAGTTTCTGTAGCAGTGTTTATTTTACAGGATGCGGTTGCTAGCCTCATGCCCAACCTTTCCTCTTTACCAGCATTATTTCTGGCTTAGCGAGGTAAAGGAGTGCGTCGGCTGGGATCGAACACCGGACCATGTGCATGGTCGGCGAGCGTCAGTAATGATCATACACAATGGGAACTTTCGATATTACGTAATTAGATGGAAGAGAGGTGGAAATATCCAGTTACCAGGGCGAAGAAAGACTGATAACTGCTTCTTTCTCAACGCATAAATCAGGTTTCAGGCGCTTGATGGAGATGGCTTCACCAAACTTGAGGAAAAGTGAACTCTTCTGCCTATCGATAATTTTAAACGATCTTACGACGTCTACCTCATGACCCGTGCCTGGAGATGGCACTGCTTAAAGCATTTGTTCCCTTTAGACGTAACCATTTTGGTACAGGTTCAGAAAATCGTAGATATGCCCTTCCTTCTGTTCTTCCAATGTAACTGCTCCCGCAGATATATGTAAATTTGTATATACAGTTGGATTTAACGTGAGAAGGATATCTATCGATTTTTGATTGCACCAAAGAGCAAGTTGTTCGATAGACGGGAACGAGCTTAGCTGCAGAATAGGCTCTGACTAATGACGTCATCAATCTTCTGTTGACAATTGCTGTAATATTTTCACCTTTATAATCAAGGGGACTTTTTCTCCACTGTGATTTGTTTGACATTTGAGACTTCAGATCTTCCGTACTTGTTAATGAATCTTTGAGGGTAACCATTGCTTTTCAACATCTTTTCGAGAAACATAAATTCTTCCTCTAATTTCTCTATAGAGCATAATCTCCTAGCTCTATAATATAGAATCTTGACTAGTCCACGTTTAAAGCTATTTGGACAAAAACTATTTAAATGTAGGTATTGTCCTTTCCAAGTAGGCTTTCGGTAAATTGACTTGTGGGTAGCGTAGGAGACTGTTAACCATTCAGCCACTGGAAAACAATCGTGATTATCAAAAGCAGTATTCTGGAATACTCTAGAACTCGGATCACATTCTCTTACAACTCCGTTATAGTTAGTCATGATCAGTCAGAACAAATAACAGTGAAGTTCATTGTATATACATTACTTTATATTCTTATTATTACGTGATGATATTCCGAACTCTATGGTAATTTCTGTCTAGATTGCTAAATGACCAAAGTCTATAGTCATCGATCATTGAAACCCGACCAAGTGATGGAATGGTTAGATGGTTATTTTGAAACTTTACATTTCTCTCTTCATAACACCAATTCTTTGTTTGTAGCTGTCGTAAATCAAGCCGAAATAGAATAATTAGCGGGAAAAATACTCATAGTTAATATTTGAGCTATAAGGATTTCAAGGTAGATATCATTGCGATGCAGTTATCAAGGTTTCAGTACCATTGCCTATACGCACATGTACAGTCTTCTTACAAATCGATAGTGGCTGACTACCCACATTATTATACAAGCATTTGCATGATTCTTTTACTCTTATCATTACTTTAATTATTATCCATTGATTTATATACCTAGATTACAGTTCTGTTAACCATAATGGCAATGAATGTTTATTCTCAATATTATTCTAATAAGCAGTTATAATTCTGATGAGAAACTACTGAAAATATGTATTTCCACAACTGTGTTCTCTTTAAGTGTATTGACTATAGGACACTATAGCTTCACAGCTTAACTTCCCTCCTTTCCATGCTTACTATTAGCTAGCCGACTAGATAAGGTTTAGGCGTGTGTTGACAGGGTATCAAAACCTGGTCCACATGAATAACTTGTGAGAATTATACCACTGGATTACCGACACACACAAGAACCTGTTCGTATTCAATTGAAATTCACCGCTTTCGTTTTGATTAAAAATCATGTTTATTTTTTCTGAAATTTTATTCACTGGCGAAATATTATCCTACATGAAAGACAATTATTTTTGATTATTTTTCTTGAAATCTGATAAAATTGATTTTCTTTCTTGTTTTATCTAGCCTACACAAAGAATCTTTTTCTTGTCAGAATGAAAATTTAAATTCAGTAGTAGTAGTAGTAGCAGATTGAAATGCATTTCAAGTTTGTTTGAAAAGCATAAGAGTTTTTTACGCAGAGATAGACTTATTTCCGAATGGTAGTAATAATAACAAACGCGGAAAACCGCTATTCATCTCTCCAAAATGCATTTCCTTCCCTTTAAAATCAGCAGACATAATGTTACAGATCTAGATATCTTTTTTAGTGTTTGTTCAGAAATTTCGACGAAATACATTTGGTTGAAAAAGTGACTTTTTCAATAGGATAAGAAAATATATATATGTATATATATGCTTGAACAAGTTCTTTTGTTTGGTTATTGCTATTTGCTCTGTTGAAGAAAAGATTGAAAAAGATCCCTACTTCAGGTAAAGTTGAATTGCAGTTTAATTTTATATAAATGGACTGTAGGGAAGTAAGTAAGAATTTTTCACGTCTAATCAGAAGACTGCTAGTTAAACGAACAGAATTACTTCCATTCCAGATAAAATATTAAATCGCCCAGGATAAAGTACTGATCAACTCCTGCTGTACAACCTATCACCCAACAAAAATGCGGATGGATTGGACATACACTGAGGAGACCATTCAGTGACACTCCACACCAAGCAGGAACCCGGGTAGAATCCGAATGGGTAACGTCAAGATGGAAGTCCGAGAATGACACGGAAGAAATTGTGTCAGAAGGACATGAAAGCTTATAGGTAATCGGAGAGACAGCTGAAATATCTTGCACAGGACAGGGTGCAACGGAGATATGGTGTCTAATCTCTATGTTCCAGTTGAAACCTAATGGAACAACAATAACGAGAATGACCTTTATTGTTATCCAGTATATTCCTTTCCTTTGTTATCAAATAAAAAAATGTAAAACTGAGATGAGATCTGATTTTCCTAAAGTACTATATTTATGTTTACAGTACAGTGCTTCTTGTATTGCCCCTCTAGTTTGTGATTTTGGGACGCTATTGGTTCTTAGCTGTTTTAATTTATCAACATAATAGTGTCCCCCAAATTCATTCAGAGAATACGCATATACGCAATTGCTGTGGACCCTTTTCGCTGTTTATTCGACAGAGTAAAAGCTCTCTACGTCAACGGTCTGTGTTCTTGCGTCGTGGTTTCGGTGTTATCGTATTGTATCGTTGTTGTCGCTAATAGTGATTAGAATAGTAGGCTCGCAAATCGACTAGGTAGGACGTTTGTTAGCGTAAATTACCGAGTGTATTAACGGTCATATCAAAGACAACGAAGAATGACAACATTTTAATTATTTCCTCATTTTTTGTATGTACTTTTTCCATTCCTGCCGCGTTCTGAGTGGAACAAAGAATTTCACGTTTTGGAGTCTAAGTAACGATGATGTTGTTTGTTAACTGGATTCACTTGGTTTCGTGTAAACAAGTTTCAAGTTTATCCGCCTATCCATCGATTTTAATGCCACAGATTTAAAATCGGGAGGAAATTTGATAACCAGATCACCAGACCATATTTAGAAACGGTAGATGGCATGAACAATTATACAGCATTTCAGAACGTGCGTCGGTGGCACAGTGGTTAGGACTCTCGCCGACCATGCACATGGTCCGGGGTTCGATCCCCTGCCGACGCACACCCGATATCTATGGTCGGCCTGTAAATTTGGGCTACCGATATCCATGCTGAAAATTCCAGACCTGTACTGAAAATACGGTGTGGAATCAAGCTGTAATCAAAATAAATAAAATAAATAAACAGTTTTAAGTTTGTTTTAGCTTTTGTCATCTGCTAAATAGGTAATTTAGTGATAGATTCAAGTTACTTTCGCACAAAACTTTTCCAAAAACACTTTTTCATTAATACATAATCAGATTATAGGTGAGTTCATTCACTATTTCCTTCGGAGAACTTTTATATTTGGGAAAAACAGAAGACAATCAGTGCAAAACTTCAAAAACTGCGTAACACAATAAATAAGGAAATCTAAATAGTTACAGCAGAATAGTTACAGAATAGTTTTAGAATCTTCCACGAACTATGCGGGCTATAAACGCCGCTACACCCAAAAAAATGATCATAATGAAAATTGACATATTTAAAGCTGACTGTAATGTCAATAAACCAATATGATTGATGAAAACTTTGTGTTCAGGTGAGGCTTGAACTTGTGGACACTGGCTTTTGACACGTGGTGGACAGACTTCAACCTGAAAGAGGAAAAAGTGATTCATGTTTGAGATTAATTATTGGAAAAATATAAGAGTTACTCTTCTCGAAAGTAAGATCTTTCAGGTTTACTTAGTGATTGTATTGTATTCAAAGTGAATATCCCTCTGCATATTTACATTAATTGGTTACAGTAATAAATAGTTGTAGGAAATTCTTTGATATCACTCCACATAATATTAGAAATGTGGGTAAACAACAGCAAGGCGTACACTTCGAGCTGAAGCGGCAAGATTTGTGTATACTAAAATGAAAAATGCAACTGTGGTTATTTATTTTTGTTTGGACCAGAAATCTCTACAGATGGATTTGGACACACATATTACGTCAATTGAGGTGGTTGCGTAACCCCGCTAGACTCTATATTTTAGATGCGGCTTAGAGTCTAGCATGAAAATCCGCATCCCTCTTTTGAAGTGAATTCACGTTACTAGATAAAGTTTTTAATAAATGATGGATAATTTCGTATTAAATATCAATCATTTGACTTTATACTATTAAACCCGGAAGTTTTTTCTATTCTTGGTATATTAAGCATAACACTTACTTGTATAATTTCTCTAACGTTTGGTGTCTTTTCTTTATAGGTTGAAGTTTGATAAATTTCCGGTGAACTGTAATATCCAGACGATTCTGAGCGCGCCTCTTCGAGGTGAGCAAAGCGTCTTCTTTTTCGCGTCCGGTTTTGTCCACATACTGGTAAACATTCAGACCAGACACTCCAATGGTCAATCTGCGCGAAAAATAAAGTAAAAAGATGGCTTGACTAGGCTGTAAATTTCTTGAAAAGTACTTCATTTTGTGTAGCATTAAGTCTCTTTGACATAAATAGAAATGCTGAAATTAATCTGGATTCGAGGATCCTGTAATTTAAAAAAAGGAAAAGGCTAGTGAAATGACTATGTCGTTTTTACTGTGAATTTTATATCCGCTGCCGTATGTCACTTCTTTGTTCAAATTGAAAAAAAATTCTTTTTCCATTGTTTCAAGTTCTTTATTCATTAAAACAACAAATAATACCAGTTCTTTTTAACAGTATATGTATTTATGTACACACAACACAAAACGAAAGCCACCTCAATAACTGGTTGTTTCTCATGAGAAGTGAAATGTTTGAAAGCCTTGACAGCCATTTAATAGCTGTCAAGTAGCATTCTGAACTTCCCCAATGCAGAAAAGCATGTCTAAACGCAGAGTTAAGAAATGTATTGAAACTTACAATGGACGAAGAAGAATGCGAGAGAGAATAGTTTAAATGAAGAATAATAAGGATTTCACGAACATGAACGACCACAAGAAGTAGGTGCATCTACACACGTAGGAACGACTTTGAGCCATGTCATAAACACTTTACAACCACTGATTTGCGGAACGCTGAAGACACTAGACACGCGACCTACGCCACCATATGTGGTTCAAACTGACAGTGAAAGACTTCATAGACTAGTACCGTGCACTGGTTGGACTGCCAGCGACCATTTTTTTAAAATCTAGTCCTGTATCATCTAATATTGTTTGTCCACTATGCTGATGGCCTTGCATAAGTTACACGCATTCCCTAACCACCTCACTTGACAGAGTTTCACAACCCCGTCCACTGACCATGTCTGATTATCTAATACTCTACGCTTAACCTTACTCTTACTGAGTTATTATATCTCGTAGTAAGAAGTGAAAATGGCATCTATAGTCAAAAACAGCTAATGTTTTCATATTATCTACCTTCACCAGTAATGTCTGACAGCTGCCAATCAGGTCAAATCCAACCGCTGAAATGCAAAAATCTTATTCTTTGACAATAACTGCTTCTAGTCATTCTCTTTCCATATTGAAACCTGCAGGATTGTCTTCTCCTAGCCGGCGTTGAGTCAGTCTGACAAGTACGCTTGACCATCTTACCCGGATGATGGTCATTCATATGATTATAAAACGAAAATATCACCTCGGAATTTAACACTCACCATGATTAAAAAACGGAGAAACAGTACTTTGCGTTACTTGAATATACTACGCAACAAAAAGGAGGTTTATTGTCGCCTTCAAAATAGTAGTAACGACTTCATTTCTTTATTTATTACTAGAGGAGTGTTTATCTTCTCATTTGCTATAAAATATACAATTATAGATGTTTTGAGAACAGGCAATTGAAAAAATAAGCTTTATTGATTTATGTATGTACCATATAAATTGTCTTATCAGTGATTCCCTCCAGAATCTTTAGCTCTTATGTAAACTTATAAGTTCACAGTTTGCACTAAAACTTCTATTACTTACAGATTTCTACTCATCTCTTGGTTGCTATTAAACTGATTGGGAAAAAAGCTGCGAATTTTAACAGAAATGCTTATTATCTTTACACGTCAGGTGGAAGTGCATTACTATTAACTTCCAAAGAATAATTACTATGAGAATAGATTGGATATGCATTAATACTATACTCACTTTTACTATTCAGGAAAGATTCTTAAGAACAGGACATAGAATATCCTTATAAACAAGTTATTCTATATCTAATAAATCTTCTAAAAATGCATAGGACAAAGTGACTGCTTCTGGTTATATGTGGAAATGTCCTGGTAGTCCTTACATTTCTTTTAATTTCCTGGTACTCATATAAACATCTAGAAGTGAACAGATAGTTAATTCAATGTCAGAAATCCTTTATAATAGCTCACCTTATGAGTACATGATGGTCCATCATAACCTGGATTGCATACACAAACCGCAACATCACGTGAATGCTCTGCAGTAACACAACTGCCATGAACACATAATTTTCTGTCACAAGCTCCAATAATTTTCATGCAGTTTGGTAAGTTAATATGAGTATCTTCTACAAAGCTCCCTTTACATTCACATCGATATTGATTTGTTCCTTCTACTGGTATACACAATGAGCTTTCATTTCCAGATATCTGACTTCCACTCATATTCACATTACACATTTCATTACCACTAGTTATTTTACTAAAATCAGAAAAGTAAATTGCTCAAAGTAAGTAGAAATGCCGAAACTAAGGTGGAAAAAAGTGAAACTTTTCAGTAAAATTAAGAAATTTCAATTCATATTTAATTATGCAGTTATCAAGCTAATGCATTCACTGTCAATCTGTCTTATCATTGACTGCATACCATGCAGTTGGAATAAGATTATCATCTCTCCTTTCAAAGTCAATGTAACGGTTTACGAATAATTTTTTTACATTACACACACAATTTATTCAAGTATTGGTTTGTAGGGATTTGATTGATTGATTACAATGGTCTACCAGCTCGCCTTGTAACCAGAAGGTCCTGGGTTCGGACCCCGGTGGGTGCGTACTGTAAAGAGACCCAAACTAGGACGAAACAGTTGTCCAGTACTCCCAGGTTTTCCAATGGTTCTCTAACCAATGTCAGCTCATGACGAAATCCTGTAACATACAATTTATATTAGAGGGAACATTAGGTCACTAAGAGAAAAGTATTAAGTGGAATTACAAGTGCCTTCAAAAATTGATCAACCTTCTTTTTATGAATACTGTTATCACCTTTCATTATTATTGTTAAAACGTTAAACTAATGAATTTAGAACTGCCAATAGATACGAACTTATAGACTTGACTAAATTAAATAGATTTAAAGTATAGAATACTAAGACATTATAAAAGATACAGGCATTTTAAAATTAGAATTGCAGCATTATTTTGCATTGTAACATTTTGCCACATTTCACATTTATTTTTACAGCTTGATGCCACACCGTATTTTCAGTACAAGTATGGAATTTTCAGCATGGATATCGGTAGCCCAAATTTTGTAGGCCGACCATAGATATCGGGTGTGCGCCGGCAGGGGATCGAACCCCGGACCATGTGCATGGTCGGCGAGAGTCATCATTTTTCGGCATTTCTACTTAATTTGAGCAATTTACTTTTATGATTTTAGTAAAATAACTAATGGTAATGAAATGTGTAATGTGAATATGAGTGGAAGTCAGATATCAGGGGTTATAACAGTGAAAACGGAGACAAATAGATAAAATCCATTACGAGCTAACCGAGGTCTAGGGGTGAGTCGACTGGGGATAGAACCCCGACCACGTGCGTGGTTAGCAACTATCCTACCACTGAACCACTGGTTTACGTTAGCGCAAGTTGTTATCCGGAATCCAGTTAATCTGAATAGATTTGGCTCTCTGAAATGTGTCAGATCGGATATACTGCTGATAAGCTCGGCCTCGAACGAGTAAAATGGCCATCCAGTGTTTAGATCACCGTGATCTAGCTAGCGAGCATACCTAGCTGATGTGATTAATTTCCAACTACTCACTTTGATCAACAGTAGCATAAAACTGCTCTAGACGATATGATGAGATAAGGATTTCCAATGTAAGTGGACGATAACAATCATTTTTGTACACAAAAGTGGAGGGAGTTAGATTCATTTTATGGATGGCTATCGCCTCAAAGTATTTTAGTATATGCCTTTGACTATCTGTCATCAGGTTTGTACACTGAAATAAGCTGAGGCGATAGATATTCGTAAAATGAATTCAACCCTCCCTCTCCGATTTTGTGAACGAAAGCAATTTATTGTTACCCCCAACCTACCTTCGTATTTCTTATCTTATTAGATTACCAAAGATAGTGTCAATTATCACCCTCCTTACGCTTAAATCCCTCATTATTGTACATATTTTGATCGATTCTCCATTCTTTCATTTCTTACGTAAAGTGAATTGATGAGTAGATATGTGATCAGATTGTCCAAAATGTATTGCACAAACAAGTCGTATTTTTCAGATAAACTCCGAATATATTGCTAAAGAAAATAATTATTTGAAATTCTCCGTATAACACACTTCATTTTTCTACTGTCAGAGGTTTTAATAACTGACCTACGGCTTTGCTTGACAAACCTTAGAAATCCCGTAACTCATACACGTACGTCATCATTTTGCTAACTAGCACTATGTTCTAAACTTTTCGAACGTTTATCAACAGAATAGAATACTTTCGCGAAAAAAAGATATACAAATGGTACTTATGGTAATGCATCTTACACTTTTCTTTTCGCAGTGACTGGATCCACGTAGCTATAGCGTAAGATTTTCATCTGACAAGCATCTATTACACTTTTACATGTTGTACCTGTATATCCGTCTTTGCAGATACACCTGTGTCCACCGGTCGACCTTAAAAGGGAACAGAAAAAAATTATTTCTTTCCAATATTTTAACTTATTTAACAGTGTAGTGTAGAATACGGTGAATAGTCCAGCATACTGGTTCTAACTTCAGCACTTAGAATGAGTCAACTTAAGACAGACAGATAAATATACTTCATCCGGTCACCACAGTTTTCCACAAATCAATGTTGTTATTTAAATTTTCCATTGGCTATTTTCGAGAACTCTGACACCAAGCAGACATTATATTCAAGCGAAATAAGAGATTATTTTTAAATATTAACTATCGAATAGTTTGTGTACATTCAAGAATGTACATCAAATATTTCAGTTGGAAATGTACAACATTTTGTTGTACAAGAATAAAGTATGAAATGGCTTCAACGATATCGTCGTCAGACTTTTCATCTTCTCTGATAACAGACATTTATTGTATACGAAAGTAGTAAACTGGTTAGTGAGTTTATTAAAAATAAAAGCGTAAACGAGAGAGAATATATTGTGTAACTAATTGCCATGACAGAAAGATTTTGTGAAGCTGAATGAAGTATCTCTACTGATACATGGAACTACCAAAAGTCTATAAATAAACTTTACCAAATCAGCAATTTGAAACATTTTGTTTATCCCATCAATAAGAAGGACTGAAGTCAGTGTGGTACACTGGCTGTGAACACCAAATTTATGGGGAAATAACGAAAGGTATGATTACAGTGGAATAAAGCTGAAATGGAAGCGGAAGTAGAGTAAAATTCGAACCAGTCATCTTGTGAACTACCATACCGAAGTCCTGACAAGTAAAGTACAAGGTATGTGTATTTGAGTTCAAATATACAAACAACTATTTGCTGGAATTTATTTAGAATTTTACCCAACGATATGTATAGCAGAACTTATCCAAAATCCCTCCATGGAAAATCTGTTTCCAACATTCGTTAATATCTGGATATTTCAACTGGCTTTGTAATTATTAACCTTAACCTCAGACCTGTATATCATAGTTATAGCTTATGCACACTTCCATTTGACTTAATTCCTATTATCTGTCCTTATTCTGGTTAGTCATATCTTAATACTTTTCTTTACCGTTGTATGACGGTGCTGATAAAAAGGGCTTATTTTACTATTTGGATTTTGTATGAGCCATGTCATGTTTACATTGCACATTGATCGTTAGACCATGGACTGTTTGTGGGAGAAGTGTGTTGCGTGCCGTTTAATTCTATTAGACAGGGTTTCGAACTATTTATATGTAATTTTGTACATGAAGAACTTTTGAACTGTCTAGTTGCCAGAAGGCATTATTGAGGGAAGTTTGTATTTCTGTTGTTGAATAGTACCACAGATTCTACCACATCAAACTGCTTTTCTGACATTGTTTGAATATAATTTTGGGCTGTGAATCACTTACGAAGTTTGGCAAGTTAAGCAGATGAAGGAGATGATGAATAATATAATCAGCAATATTCATTGACAGCTGAGTAAGATAGTGAAATATTTCTTCATAGGCTTACTCTCTCTCTATCTGTTATTTTTTTTATAATGAAATGGTTTCAACTTTTAGCAACAGATAAGCTACGGTGGTGATATTTGTAAGATAAAAAACACTGTTGTCTATGAATTCTCCACTTATTTGTGTTTCATCACATTTCACTGTTAACACATAACTTGATTTGGTTTTTAAGTGTTGTCGACTTAAACTTCTCAACACATTTTCATCTACTTTTAAGAACTATCGAGTATCTGAAACCATTAGTTACTCAATTAAGTGAAATGAAGAAACTCCGCTCTTTCACATAACACATATTCCAAAGTAGAGTTTTGGCAAAATAGAAAATCTCCTTAGAAGAAACAACTGAATCTGTTATTTGTTTATGAGACACGGTGAAAAATCAGATAAGACATGGTGAAGACACAAAACAACCGTCGTGTTTGAACAGCAATCAGTAAATTATCTTACCTCTCTGTTATACAATAAAGAGTATTTTTTGAATCACAGCCACTGTCAGCAGAATCGCATCTGTCCTTTACCATTCGTCTTGGCACACACTCCATTCTAGTGTGGACCCATTCAAAGCCTTTAGAACATTTGCATGCATAACCAGCTTCTTTATCAATCCATCCAAGAGATACAGCCGATTTAGGATGATTCTTCCAATCTTGAGGATCAGCTAGTTTTTGAAAGAAACTGTATAAAGTGTCAACCCAGTTTCTTGTCTGCAAACAGAAGTTAGCAAATAGTACTTAAGAGATATTTCGTATATGTTGAAATGTCAACTTTTTGTGACACGATTCTAAATGTAGGTTTAGATCTCATATCAGTGACTGGCTGACTGGTTTAAACATAGACCTTTGCACCGATGTGCAGCAGCTCGAGTCGCCACACTCCCTCCATGTAGCACACAAAGCCAGAGAAGAAGATAGTAAAAAGAAACACAAAATAGAGGCAGTGAACAGAGATATGAGACAAAAAGAATAGTAATATGGAAGAACAATATAGTTTTATTGGGCGTTATAAGTCACACGGAGTGGATGCATCTGCACCATTGAGAACCATTTTCAGCCAGCCATATCACCAATTGTCTCCAGCCATTGGTTTTACCGTCCCGAGGACCCCAACCAGGACGTCTACACCGTCCTACATGACTGGCTTAAACTGACTGTTGTGAGTTTCATTGACTGATGGAGCCATGTTTTGGCTTGACCACCACTGGATCTTTTCCAGCCTGACCCTATGTCAGCTAACACTGCTCTTCGAGGAAGGCGAGGGCTAGGCCTACGTAACACATACCCTAACCATCTCAGTCGATGTAGTTTCACAGCCTCGTCGACTGATTTTCCCTCCTTACCTAGCACTCGACGCCTAACCCCAACATTGCTCACCTTATTTTACCACTTCACACAGAAGATAGAATGCAGACACTTATGATCAAAGACAACTAGCCTTTTCATGTCTTCCACTCTCAATGGCCATATCTCACAGCCATAAAGGAGAACAGAACGGACTGATGAGCAGTACACACGCCTTTTGGTCGTTAGCCGGATATCACGTCTACGCCAGAGACGGCGTAAACTGGCATCTCATATCATTACAAATCATAAAAATCAAAAATCAGTATAAGCCAAGCATAGAGACAATCAACCAAGAGTAATTTCAGAGAAACGATGAGAAAGCTTCATAAAAGTCAAACATAATCAGCGGCTACTTGTCCTTGCACATGACTTATCACAGTCAATCAGTAATAGTTTCCAGTTTGGAATGTATTTTGCATTGTTCGTTCGTAGTGACACCTACTCTGAAGTCAATGAAGTACCCATAAACACAACATCCAAATAAAAATCTGCATACATTTCACATAGAAAACTGTTCGCATAGTGAATACACATCATCTCAATATTTCACATTATTCTTTCTTTTTTAAAGTAAAGCATAATTTCAATATCTTCTACCTTTTATATCATTCGCCTTCTTAGTCACTCCTTTAAAAAAGATAAATAATACTGTACTAGTTGAAATTTTTGTAAAGATTGTATAAACCATCAGATGGGAATCAGATTGAACACTAGAAAAAATTCCCAAAGTGTGAAAAGACAGTTGACAATCGTTCTCTGTCATGAACAAGTATGTGAAGTCTGTCCATGGACCGATTGGCTAACATTATGGACACTAGTAGTTCTGTGTAAGGTGGCATTATTTGGTGAACAAATGAATGAAGAATAATTTACTTTCTCCTCTGATACACACCAGCATCACAGAGTTATCATCCAATGTTTTAATAAGAAGGACCAATCATTTATCAAGTGTTAGTTTACAGAGATTTGATTGGTGTTAGGTGTGATCACGAGTTGAAATCAGTTAGAGAACCATCAGACACCCTGTGGGTACTGAACGATTGTTTTTTCTAGTTTGGGACTCCCCAGTAGTACGCAGCCACTGAGATTCGAAACCATGACCTTCCAGTTACAAGGTGAGGTTGCAGACTAATTATTGTTTATTACTAAAGTTGTGTTATCGGACTGTCTTGAATACGAGATACTTTTTCCTCTAACACTACAGAATTCCTGTATTGAGAAGATTTAAAGACACTTATGTAAGCTTCTTGTCTGCTGAACATCATCAGTTTTGGTTGGAATATTTGTGATGATGATGATAATGACAACAACCGTTATTTTCTACACAAACAAAAACCGTTTATCTGAAAGTAATCAGTAATTTTGTCAGTCTAATAGAAACAGTAGTAAGTCGTTATAAAATATTTAAAATAATCCCAGTTTTTTTGGAAAATTCAACCAAGATTTATCCGAACGGTTGTCTGTAAGCCATAACTTCTTCAGTTCAACTCTTCGAGCAATCAAACAGATGACGTGCATGTATAACTTTTAATTAAAATATTCAACTACTCATAAGTAGTAAAGTTTAAAACCGAAATTCTTCTGTCAGCAAAGGTTTTAAGTGTTCATGGCTTACTTGCATACAGACGTTATCACTTCTTTCTGAAACAGCTTCACAAGGATTTCCTGGGACTGTTTCCACAACACCTTCGCTACCTCGGATACTTCGACCAACACACAAATATGGACAGAGGAATGGTATTTGTTCGTAGAAATTCAAGCATAAAGCTAAGTTGTAAAGAGTCAGGAGCATATTATGACCCAGTGGAAGTATTTCTAAGTCTTTTTCTGGATTCCATGGTAAAAAGCCATACACACCACTATGATTTTCAAAGAAAGGTATTAAAAATTAGAAAAACTAATAGTCACTTTTCATTTTTTCTGAGAGATAGATACAGTAATCATATTATTATAGAAACCAAGTTAAAACTAGTTACTCGCTGCGCAGATAAACAACACTTTATGCTGAAGATATAACTGATGCAGATAACAAAATTTTGCATACACTAAAAGGTCTACTGTTAGTTGTTGATAGTCAAGTGGTAGAAGTGACATTTTCAACTTGAGAAGCTGTTTTATCTTTGAATAAGTTCAGAGATTAACAAATTTACCAGCAACAAAGGTAAACACTAATCAGTCAGAATTAAAGTGAGAAATAATAGTATTTAATCCCACTTGTATAAGGGCACTTATTTACGGCTATAATCAAAACGCAGGACATGAAGGCCTTCACTTGGAATGCACACGTAAGCCCCATTGATTCAGCCTACTAAATTACACTAGCTAAAATAATTTCTCCATAATTTACTAGCTCATTAGACAATACAATGGAGGCTATATTTATTACTTTAACTTTTATCTAGTGTAAATTAACAACACAAAGTAAACTGAAATGCACAATATTGTTGAGTTGCTTAGTTTAGACCCACTATCACATTTTTAACAGATTTATTTTGGCCAGCACTTAAAACCAAATGGATGTAGTGACCAATATGTAGAAATTAATTCAACTAATTCATGCCATATCAATAATGCTACTACTGCTATTGACTGTATTATTTATGAAATTACACTGTGAGTTGAGAAATTTATCAAACAGGTTGGCGGTTAGTAGATACAGTTAAACTGCTTCTCGATAAGCGATAAAGCTCTTTTCTATCTTTGTAAGGAAATACCAATTCAGAGTGATTAAACACGTCTTTTAGTTAGGACTTGGTTTAAGGGAGACACCAACTTGTTGTTCCATTTAAGAATGTTAAGCAGAGTATGGTTAGTTGGACGTTGACGGATAAAAGTTTGACAAGAGCTTAAAATCAGCAATAAAACATTTCAAGAAATAAAAGATGGTTTTTTCAAATCGTATGTCCCTAAATGTACTAAACCCTATAGTGCTGGAAACGGATTAACTTCATGAAAAGAAATACTTATCTAAAGTTGTCAAAACATCTTATAAATGTAAATGGAATTAGGTGTAACATATCATTTCCGCACACAAATAATCTAATATCTTTCAGTATGAAAAAGAAATATTGTGTAGATAAATTTATCACAATACTGCTTTCATTAAATATGTATACTACTTCTGTTAAACTGGAAAATTAATTTGTGAAAAAGGTTTTCTTTTCTGTAGTGCGAACTGACAAAAATTACAATAATCCTTCAACTTTTCTGAAGAAAGGAAGGCTTAAACTGAACTCATGTTTTCAAGTAAAAACAGTAGATAAATGAAATTCAAGCACTGGTAGAATTATTGTTAAACAGAAACAGTAAGCATTGTTCTCTAAATATTCTACAAACGTATTTAACTGAAAATTTGTGGACAGTATAATAAATTAACATATATTTAGATACAGATCAGTGGTATAGTCAGCACAAAATAAGTATTTTCAAACCTATACAATAATATAAATAGGAACAAAACTGATATGGTTCATGACCTGGTTAATCATTACGCACAAAAGTACTTACCAATTTATTATTTGTTCCGTCCACTTAGCACCTTTAAGCACCATTCATCTTTCTAACACTCTTTACTATTCATTAAAATAATCATATTGTAATCTTCTTTGCTGGTCAATCCTTCACTGTTTTGTCATTATTTCAATCATCATAATACCATATCGTTTATTGTTATATTAAAAAACCAAAATAATTGAGCAAAGAATATCCTTTTCGATAATTTCCTCTTCGGGCTCTGAAGTTATATATATATATATTTAACTGGTGGATGGTGACTAGCAGTGGAATCCAGGATGTGCATTCCGTCCTATTTGGGACTCGTCATCGGATGTACCCCAGTGAGTGATGATGTTCCCAAATAGGACGAAATGCGCATCCTGGATTCCACTGCTGGTCACCATCCACCAATTATATTCTAATTACACGCCCAGACATCGTCGAAGCATCTGCACAAGAAGCCAACAAGTCAACCTGAAATCGAGCACTTCGGTCCACTCAATTGACAGGAAAATCTAAAATTCAGTTAAAAATGTTTATATACATAGAATATTCTAGCATAGTAGTCAATAGTTGTTGGATTCCCAAACATCACACACACACATCGTACACATTGGATCGTAGGAATTATTAAAAAGACGGTTGCAGCGGGGAAAATTTTCTTTTCGACGAATTTATCTACTAGGCTGTATATTCGTTTATTTATAATAAATGTCATTTTATTATTTCTACATATTTAATCCCTATCTGCATAAACAATTATTCGTCACATTAGTTATGATCCCACTAGATTTTTTATCCAAACATCCTGTCTATTTTTGTTATTTCTACATTTCTAGCCCCCTAATTACACAATATGTAAATCTTCTCAGTAATTATGATGCTACTTTGTTTGAGTTTTATCCGTCCCCTTCTTTATAATGTCATTTTAATTCTTAATTTGACCCTTGACCGGATATTATTCTGGAACTTTCCCACCCATTTATTAAAAATACACGAGTGTACAGCCTAGTTGATGACTTCGTCGAAAAGAAAATTTTCCTCGCTGCAACCGTGACCCAATGTGTATATTCCGTGATTTGAAGAGAAGCAAGGACCATTCGACGGTAAAGGGACTGAACAAGTTTCTGCGTTTGTCTGTCAAGCTTGCTGAGGCGAATGAAAAGATTTTCTTCTGGAAGAATTGTCTCCAGAAACATGAATATCCCAAAGTATTCTGGAAGCATCCCAGACGAAATCGATATTACTCAAAAAACACTAATATTGTCATTGACTACTATCCTAGAATATTCTATGTATATAAATATTTGTATATAATTGTACAGCCGGAAGAGGAAATTATCGAAAAGGATATTCTTCGCTCAATTATATTATTTTTTATAGATGTCTGAATGAATATTTTCGATATATTATTTTATTACTTTGCGTTCCAAGCGGAACACATAGAGCTCTACGCTACAGCTTTGAAGTTTCCTCAGCAGTGGTTTCATATTTACTAGTTGGGGTTGCTAGCCTCACGCCCGACCTTCCCTCTTTATGGGCTTTACTACCGGCCTAGCAAGCTTTAGGAGTGTGTCAGCGAAGGATCGAACCCCGAATCACATGAGTAGTAATGTGTTATCTTAACTACCCCACCCATCACCTTGAATATTCATCATAGCATATCAGTATTATTTTGTTCTGTGTGGACTGAATTCATAGTATGATTTGTCATCTTAATAATTATTTATACTTTTTCCTGTAGTAAGTAATCAGGTTATAAACTATATCAGTATTTGTCCCCATATACATAGATTGTTGTATAGATGTGAAAGTACTTATTTTGTACTAACTGCCCCCCTGAACACTACCAAACTATCTGGCAATGACACATTAAATCATGAAAAATGTACACAGATTTTCAATTAATTTCGTTTATGGAAGATTTGGAGCACAACGAAATGAAATTGAAATAAATTCAGTCCACATTGTTTTCTGTTCTTATCAAAGAAAACTTTACAAGAGGAACTAATTGTATGAAAAGACATTGAAAAAGCCTGATGCAATTAGTTGACAACAGACAGTTTGTAAACTTCACTATTAATTTATGTTTTTTCTCTATTGAAATTTTTTAAAATGAACGATACAGCTGTACTTTAATTGCACTGATAAGCTTGATGATTCAAACACTCAGCCATATCTTGTCGAAAAGCTGTCGATAGTATCAGAAATTTAGCTTCCGACTTGTAAAGTCAGTGATTAATGCATTAGGTACAATCAGAGTACTAATATTATTTTAAAAACTGTTGACTCAAAATGAAGGTTTACCACACTGACTTAAAAATTATTTTTTTCAAGATATAGTTGTTAGCAACATAATTAAAATCATTATCTATACGTGGTTTAATGGGAGAATATTCGTCAGCCATTTGGGAGGTCCAGTTTCGGTCCCCCAAAAACACACTCCTAAATCTTGTCACACCGTAAAAACAATAACATCATCGTAACCAACACTTCACTGCTTGAAGTCCTATATTCCACTGAGAACTCAGGAGACGGAAATGAATGTATTTTATAAAAATAAAATAATTTAATTATATAGAACAAATATAAACCAACAAAAACAATAATCTTTAGGCGAAGAAACGACGAATACATACCTAGTATCTGGAAAAACTCTACAATGATTAAGAAGTTAATGGATTCATCGAAAATGGCATATATATATACATATTAGTATGGTTTCGAAAGAAGCTGAATACTTAAAGCTTCGTGTTGAATATTTTCATTTGTTTTCTACTGAGAAGCATCAAGAAAATAACTCCGATATTCCGACACTCTCCTACCACATAAATTGGTGATAAACAAAATCTCTCACTTTTAGAGTACATCAAATAGAGAGGATAATCATGCAGCATAATATTTTGTGTTGCAGTCATGTATATGTATACGAGAATATGACATTTTAGTCTATTTTTAACTTATTACTATTACCGCATTAATTATTTCTTCAATTCTGATGTGAAATTCAGCAGATTTTGATTTTTCCTCTCCTTCGTTATGGTCCATTTACTATTGTGGCATGAAAAAGTGATCAACATATAAACCAGCTTCCTCAATGAATTATTTTTTTCATCTTAGAATGCATCTCTGTTGTTTGTGTTAAATCTTAAAATCTCAGTGGAATGTTGTTCCAAACGATCATAACATTTACATATTAGATAAGTCGAAAACTGAAGAGAATTATTCTGTACGTATTTGAAAACACTTGGTTTACTTGTAAACTTGTATCATTACTAATAAATGGATTTCCTTGATCACACACACACACGAATCTACTTTTGTAATTCTTCTCTGATTATATTACCAAAAGTAGTATTAGTATTTGTCCTCCTTACTCGTGCATAGCTCATTATTGCATTTATTTTAATTGGCTGTTTATTTTGGCTAATGGTGACTAGCAAAAGAATCTGAGATGCTCATTCTGTCCTATTTAGGTTTCATCAACTGGGTGTACTTACAATCCGCAGTGAGTGATGGTGTTCCCACTCAGACTCGAACCCAGCACTCATAACCCCAAACCCCCAGGCGATCTCCATCACACCAGCTGAGCCACGAGAACCACCTCGGGTGCGTTGGGTGTCAGTTATTATTTATTTTTAATTCAGTCTGGCTTTCCTGTTGACTGATGGCTTTCGTAACCCAAGTGGTTTAGTGGATAACGCTTTGGCGTTTGAGACGATGGGTACTGGGTCCGAGTCTCACTGAGAACAACATCACTCACTTGGTATTGTAGGTACATCCAGATTAGGAGTACAAAATAAGATGAAGTGTGCATTCTGGATTTAACTGTTAGTCACCACCCGCAAACTACTTCAGGTCTATTCTCAGACATCGTCGAAGCATCTACAGAGGGAGCTGACACGTTAACAGAGGCCTAACATTTCAGTCTGATCAACCAATGGCAAAGTCAAAATTGAATTAAAATTGTAATCAGATTGTTTGAAATGTATTGCGCAGATATACATCACATCTTTTCAAACACACTTCAATTTTTTAATAACGCCGATTGTTTTAAATGGATTTGTTCTGTTTTATTTCTTTTAAGCGTTTATTTAATACTGCTCAAAAATAAAACTCTAGATACTTCTTTTGTTCTTACTCTTACTTCACTTACATGTGCCTTAAACTGCGTAACCACATTCTTTGTGAATGCTGAACACAAAACTTATAGCTTGGAAAAGTTTTCATGTTTTCCACTAAGTTAATTAGTTATCCCTGACTAATCAAACTTTGAAAAGAAAAGGTATTCAGCAAAGAGTTACTCTTTTCGGCGATATCATTCTCAAGCTGTACAAACCGCAAATTTATAGTAATTTTTCTCTTGGCAACAAAAGGAATATTTCCAAAGATGTGTTAATGCAATTGTTAATTTTTGACAACAAATTACGTAATCTAGAAGGCGTTAATCGGTTAGAAATGGGAATTTTCAAATAATCAAACTTCGTTTTTTATCATAATTTTTTCATCCTGTTTCTAAATACAGGCGCTTAGTAATATTCAGTTTATATGATCAAGTTAGATATGACATCTGAGTCAAACTGTTTGACTTAAACGCATCAGGTTACCATAAAATGAATTGAATAGATTTGATACATATATTCTTAGAATTCCTCACACTTGAGTCTATCATACTGGTATAAATCTCTACTGTAAAATGCAAGTTCATATCTTGCAACTTCTGAATATATAATACTAAATAGCTTGTATCACGCTGTGACTCACAAACTGTCTAAAAGTGAAATTTCAAGCAGAATACAACACACCAGACTTACTCATATTCTCTTTAATCAAAACAAAATTAAGTAATCATAAGAATATTAGGTCATAATGAATAAATGATTATTAGTTAATTAATTAATTTAAATAAAAACTTATTACATTACTAAGTAGGCATGTTTATCAGCAATCTGTAATGTTCACAAAACTATTACTTAGAATTAGTGATTGCAAGCGGTTTGTTACACAACTGATAAGCTGATAATAATAATAATAATCAGAGTACACCAGTGAATAA